GGGCGCCACGCACTCGGCACAGCGCTGGCGTCACCCGCCGAGGGGAGGGGATTCCCCCCGCCGCTCGAGGGGTGTCCCGCTGACGTCACTGCCAGAGGAAGGGGGTCCCCCTGTGACGTCAGAGCCTGCGGGAAGGAGGTCCCGGGGACGGGCGAGGGCCAGGGGGTCCGTCCCGGGGAGCAACAGGCGSGGGAGCGCCCCGCTGCCGGTTACCGGCTGTCCCGGGTGCAGGGCGCGAAGCTGCCGCGGGAGGGCGCGGGGGGCGGTGGCTGCCCCCGCCCCGCTTGCCCGCCCCGTCCGCCCCGTCCCGGCTCGTCCCGTCCGGTAGCGGCCGCAGCCCGGAGGAGCAGCGCGCAGCAGGTAGGGTGGCCCGCCCCGCTCCGCGTCCCGCGCCGTTCCCGGGTCCCGCCTGAGGCCCCCGACGGTTCCCCTCGTTCTTTCGACTCCCCGCCGCCCGGTTCGCCCCCGCACCCCCCCGACCCTCTGCTCTCCGGTGCCACAGACAGCAAGGGGCTGTCCCAGCGCTCTCCCGAGCGTCTCTGGGACCGGGCGAGAGTGGACGGCTGGTCACTAAACAGCGGGGACACGCTGCGAGCCCCCTGCTGMCCCGTCACCGGAGCGGGTGGGGGCACGTCGGGTTGAGGTCCGGCGGCGGGAGGAGGGGGGACGAAGCGCGATCCCGCGAACAGGGACGTGGGGGGACAGGACCCCCACGCGCGGGGTCCCACTGTGGCGCTGGTGCTGTTTTCCGGACTCCACGCGATGGCGTGGAGGGGAATCGGGGCGTGGTGCGGGGTGGTTCGCGGGGGGGCAGCGACACTGGTGCTATGGAGGGTGTCCCCACGGACCCCGTGGGGTGTCTTGGCAGGGGTGAGCACGGGTTTGTGCCCGGCAAGGTGTGGGGGTGACACTATGGAGGTGCGTGGGGACCAGCACCAGCACTGGGTGGTGTGGGGTTGCTGGGGCACAGGAGAACACTTCTGTCCCATGTCTCTGTTCCCCGGGAGGGAGCTGGCAGAGGGTTAGGGATGTGGGGGTGGTAATGCTGATTCCCAGCAAACTTGTGTTGTGTGTGGTGTGGGGCAGCAGGGACATCCCGGTGGGCCGTAGTGACCCACTCGTGTGTGCTGAGCTGGGCTGGGCCGGCCTGGACTGGGCTGGGCTGGGCCGGGACAAGTTGTGTTGTGCTGTGCTTTGCGAGGCAGCTGTGCC